ACCCCGCACTCGCTCTCTCATGTGCTCCCCCTCCCCAAAGGGGCTGAGTGTGGTGGGCCGAGTAGACAGAGCGCCCCTGCTGGGAGTCCAGCAAAGGAGCCAAGAAAAATCCTGCATCACTACTTAAGATACATGGGCCCCAATCCTGGTTAAATATTAGAGTAACTTAGGAGATTTTTTTTTAAATTATCTAGACTCACTCTGAGATGCTGATTAATTGGTCTAGATGTGTTTGGACCACTAGGGTTTTGTTTGTTTTTTGTTTAAGTTCTTCAAGTGAATCTAATATTCAGGCAAGACGGAGAACCACTGGTGTCAGCTTTAACAAGGATGAAGTGGATATAAATCTATTAGTATAGAAAATTCTCCAAAATATATTGTTAAGCTTTTTTAATGCAGGTTATAAAGCATTTATGGATTGCATAATCTCATTTGTGCATTATATATTTTATTTTTGCAATACAAATTCTGGAAGGGTCAACGGCAGATTTGAGGCAGTGGGTATGAGGATGGAGGAGACACTCCTGAAGACTTCACTTTCTCCACTTCTGTACTTGAATTTTTATACCAAGCATATAGCTTTAAAAAAAAATTAAATGAGAATGCAGTGTTTTTAAAATCAACAAAAGCTTTACATTTTAATTTTCACCTGGAAAAAAAAATGGTGACTCTGATTTATGGCTTTCAGCTCTTTATAACATGAATACTTAGAATTTGTACTAGGTTCTCTGAAATTTTGGTTAGCTTACACTTTAGTATAGAAAATAGTTCCACAAGCTTTGTCTCCCTTGAGTTACAGTCATGTGCCACATAAAGATGTTTTAGTCAACCACTGTGCATATATGAAGGTGGTCTCATAAGACTATAATGGAGCTGAAACATTCTTATTGCCTAGTGACACTGTGGCTATTGTACAGTCATAGCACAATTACTTTATTCTTTCATAAATTTAGTGCAGCTAAAGTTATAAAGTGAATAGTGTTTGTAAAGTCTACGGTAGCATCCAGTAATGTCCTAGACCTTTGCATTCACTCACCACTCACCGACTCACCCACAGCAACTTCCAATCCTGCAAACTCCATTCATTGTAAGTGCCCCATATAGGTGTACTATTTTGTTACCTGTTATACCTTCTTTTTACTGTACCTTTTTTTGTGTTTGGATATGTTCAGATAGACAAATATTTACCATTGTGTTCCAGTTGCCTGTAGTATTGGCAGAGTAACATGTTGTATAGGTCTGTAGCCTAGGAGCTATGCCACATAGGCTAGGTGTGTAGTAGGCTGTACTGTCTAGGCCTGTGTAAGTACACTTTATTACATTCCCGAAACAATGAAATTGCCTAACAATGCATTTCTCAGTACATATCCCCATTAAGCAATGCATGTAATGCTTGAAGTAATTCCCATTTTACAAATAAGGAAACAAAGAGTTAAGCCACTTGACTCTGCTCTTGTGAGCACTGAAACTCAAATCCACATCTGATTCCAAGTTGCATGTTCTTCACGTCACCTCCTTCTTGATAGTGTATTCCACACAGCATTCCTGCCGACAAGGGTCACTATACACCAAGGAAACATTAAGTGACTGGGTACTATAACCTAAACTCCCAGAAGCATTCAAGGTGGGAATAATTATTGCTTAACAACTTTAAAACATGCCACCTGGGCCTATTCATGCCCAGTTTACTGAAGGCAAAGGGCTAAAATGTTTTTTAAATTAAAGAATTGTATTTGATTGGAAGCATTCAGAATGTCAACAAAACAGCTGCAACTTTTTTTTCAATTACAGAATGGTATTCAGCTAGCAGAACAACAATTATTTGTATAAGCTGCATCAGAGAAAAATGAAGATGAAAAAACTATCCTCATATATGACTAATCTGTGCTATGAGCCAACAAAAACCTGCTTTAAATTTCCATGCCAGTTACAACCCCCGTATTGTACCAGGCAAGGTTAATGTCAATTAAAAACACCACCAGGACAGGGCTATCTAAAGGCACATTCAGTAACATGTTAATTGTGCAAGAAAAGACACTGGAAGGTTTAAAAACAAATCTTACGCAGCCTTATATTTTAAATTTTTATTTTTATTTTTTGCTTTAAAAGGCGTGAGTTGTGTAAAGGAGTCATTAAATGCTTTATAGACAAGAAAAAAACTGCTACAACAAACTTGTTTATCATCATCACCTCCTTCCTCTTCCTCCTCTTGTTTTTCTTCACCCTTGGCAATTCCCTTAGTTGCTGCATGAGGCTTTTCTTTAGCCCAGTCTGCTGCAATATCCTTTTCATATTTTTCCTTCGCTTTGCAGCCTTCTTTTCATAAGGCTGCCTGTCATCTGCAACAGTGTCATTCCACCTTGCTCCCAGTGTCTTCACATCACCAATGGATAGGCCAGGACATTTTCCTTTGATTTGAGGGCAATACTCAGAACATAAGAAAAAAGCCAAAGGAGGCTTCTTGGGCTTTTTTTTTTTTGTCTCCCCTTCTGGAGGGACATAGGTTTTCTTTTCTCTTCCATAATGGGTCTTTTGTCTGCGTTTCCCACGTCTTCAAATTTTCCTTTCTCTTTAGCAGACACAGACCTCTACCTCTCTGGCACTGTTTAGAACACTCTGAGAGGCAGACAGAAGCAGCTGGGTGCTGCTTCTTGTGCTCCTTCTGACAAGTATGCACAAAGAATATGTATAATGACATTTTTGCCTCTTGGGATCTCCTTTGCCCATGTTTACTTTTTCCTCAGCAAGGCACCAGTCGCACAGTGCCTGTCTGGCAATCACCTACGCTGGCACTGTTTCTCTAAAATGCTTTTCTCCATCTTTTGGTTTCTATGGATAAAGGAAAGTCAAAGACAAATTTATTTCTGCGTTTGTGTGTATTCTTTTTTTTTTTTTTTTTTTAATTTTTTATTGGATTATAGGTTTTGGGGTACATGAGCAGAGTATGCAAGACAGTTGCGTAGGTACACACATGGCAGTGTGCTTTGCTTTTCTTCTCCCCTTCACCCACATTTGGCATTTCTCCCCAGGCTATCCCTCCCCACCTCCCCCTCCCACTGGCCCTCCCCTTTTCCCCCCAATAGACCCCAGTGTTTAGTACTCCCCTTTCTGTGTCCATGTGTTCTCATTTTTCATCACCCACCTATGAGTGAGAATATGCGGTGTTTCATTTTCTGGTCTTGTGTCAGTTTGCTGAGGATGATGTTTTCCAGATTCATCCATGTCCCTACAAACGACACGAACTCATCATTTCTGATTGCTGCATAATATTCCATGGTGTATATTCTTATTATTTAAGACATTTGGAAATACAGCATCTAATTGTTGCATGTTTCAAACCCATATCCAATCATCAGCAAATACTGTATACTTTACCTTCAACTACATCCTAAATCTGACCTCTTCATACCTCCTCCTCTACGACTGTGCTCCAGGTGACCTTTTTCTCTCATCTGGATGACTATAGCTTCCTAGCTGCTTGTCTGGGTTCTGCTTCTCTTATTTTTCTTCTACCATTAGGTCTCCCCCCAGCAATCAAGTGAGGGTTGGTTGATTGGTTGGTTGGTTGGTTCGTTTGAGACAGAGCCTTGCTCTGTCACCCAGCCTGGAGTGCAGTGGTGTGATCTCTGCTCACTGCAATCTCCACCTCCTGGGTTCAAGAGATTCTCCTGCTTCAGTCTCCTGAGTAGCTGAAATTACAAGCATGTGCCACTGCGCCTGGCTTATTTTTGTGTTTTTAGTAGAGATGGGTTTTCACCGTGTTGGCCAGGCGGGTCTTGAATTCCTGGCCTCAAGTGATCCACCCACTTTGGCCTTCCAGTGTGCTGAGATTAAGCCACCAGGCCCGACCTCAGGTGAGGTTTTTAAGATGCAGGTCAGTCAAGACATTTCTGTCTCCCATCACTCAGCATGGTTGAGTCCTTACTTCCGCTTACAAGTTTGATCAGCTTGATCCATTTGCTGGCTACTTCTCCAAACTCATCTCTGCTCCGTGCATGTCAGCCTCTTTTGCTATCCACATTCACAACCACTCCAATTCCAGGATCTTTGCATTTGCAGTTCTTTGTGCCTAGAACACTCTTTCCCAAATGTTTGCCCTGATGCTCGATGTCTTCCTTCAGATGTCTAGCTAATTGCCTCCTCCTCGCTGAGGCCTTCCTTCACCACTCAGTATAAAATAGCACCTCCTGAGCCCAGCATGGTGGCTCACGCCTGTAATCCAAGCACTTTGGAGGCCAAGGCGGGCAGATCACCTGCGGTCAGGAGTTCAAGACCAGCCTGACCAACATGGTGAAACCCTGTCTTAAAAAAAAAAAAAAAATAGCACCTCCTGTACTCCTTATTCCCAGATCATGCTTTTCTTGACAATACTTCTGATTTTTAAATTAATATTATTTGAGACAGGGTCTCACTCTGTTGCCCAGACTGGAATGCAGTGGCTGGATCTGGGCTCACTGTAACCTCTGCCTCCTGGGCTCAAGTGATCCTCTCGTTACAGCCTCCCAAGTAGCTGGGTCTACCGGTACACGCCACCACACCCAGCTAATTTTTGTATTTTTAGTAGAGACAGGGTTTCATCATGTTGCCCAGGCTGGCTCCAAATTCCTGAGCTTAAGTGATCCACTGGCCTTGGCTTCCCAAAGTGCTGGAATTACTGTAGGTGTGAGATGTTTCGAAAATATGCATTTAAACATCTGTATGTGTTTGTCTGTCTTCCACCATTAAGATAGAAACTCTTTGAGACTAGGAACTTTGTTCTTTTTTACTGCTGGATTGGCAGGGCACAGAACAAGCCATACATGTAATAGGCACTCAGCAATTATGTTTGAATGAATCTTTCTTTCATTTACACTTTTTTTTTGCAACATATTACCCCAAATTGCAAAGGCTGAGCTTGACTCTATGCTATTGGAGACCTCTCTACCAGAAAGAGGAAACAGTTGTCTCTGCCAATATCACCTTCTTTAAAAAAATCATTTTTAATTGACAAGTAATTGTACATATCAATACTTCATTTTATTAAACACTCTTTCATGCCAATGCCTAATGAAGGATAAATACAAGTCCGCAGCTATGTTCTTCCTATTCCGGGTTCCTCAAGGAGAGGGCTATGGGGGTGAATAAACCTTTGGAGGAGGGAAAACAAAGCCATTTCTTGATGCTGAAGAGAATATACGTCATGTTTTTTTTTTTTTCCCCTGAAGCTGCAGGCATCACGGGGATTATGAACACCCACATCCTCGCTTTCCCCCAGGACTTCTTTGAGAGATAAGTTGAAGAGAAGGGATTTGGGGGCTGGTGTTCCCTAATGTTGCAAGGCTTATTTTAATTGGAAGAACACCCAGTTAATGGAAAGAAAATAGCATGCTCTTAAGCCTAAATCTAGATTGAAGTGAACGATGCGCCTTTACGTTCGCTGTGGATCCTGTTTACTGGGCTGGATAAAGAATCAGAGTGGATTTAGATTATTGTACTACGCACTATTATTATTATTATTATTATTATTAGACTGAGTCTTGCTCTGTTGCCCAGGCTGTGCAGTGGCCTGATATTCACTTGCTGCTACCTCTGCCTCCTAGGTTCAAGTGATTCTCCTGCCTCAGTCTCCTGAGTAGCTGGGATTACAGGTGTGTGCCACCATGCCCTGCTAATTTTTGTATTTTTAGTAGAGATGGGTTTCACCATGTTGATCAGATTGGTCTCTAACTCCTGACCTCACGATCCACCTGCCTCAGCCTCCCAAAGTGCTGGGACTACAGACGTAAGCCACTGCTCCTGGCCAATTATTCTTAATTTCATAATGAATAGCAGTCCTACAAGGTAGATATTGTCATCTCAAGTTTTTAGATGGGAAAATCAGGAGGCATTAGGGCTCCAGAAGAAATTCAATGGCACTCTCAAGTCTGCCTGAGGAAAAAGGACATCTCCATGGTAGGGGCAGGGTGCAAGGAACTAACAAAGAATAATGAAGCACCCTGGAACCAACAATGGCCTGAGATGGGAAGGGGAGGAAGCTGGAGTCTCAGGGAAGGGCCAGTTGGACAGGAGCTGTTGGGAACCAAGCGTAGTGAGGTGGAGAGGGTTGGGCTAATACATTCCAGACTTGTTCCCCTTCTGATTTCAGGCTCTCCACTGAATGGAAGCCATAGTGATGCAGCCAGAGCCCAGAAGAAGACAGAGAAGGTGGGGAGTAGATGTGGAGGTAGAACTGAAAATAAGTAGCACAGAGGTTTGGTTGGATAATTCTAAATGAAAGAGCTGGGATTTTAGTTTGACCTTAACTAAACTCAGAAATTCTTTCTCCTTCCACCATGACAAAGTTTTTACAGCTCTGGATTGTGACCTATTGGTGGTCATGATATCAATTGGTGGCTTGCAGTCAGCATTTTACAAACTGATGTAGAACAAACTATCAGAGTGCACTGCAACATGTTTCAATTATAAAGATCACAGCGGCCAGGCATGGTGACTCACACCTGTAATCCTAGCACTTTGGGAGGTGAAGGCAGGCAGATCATGAGGTCAAGAGATGGAAGCCATCCTGGCAAACGTGGTGAAACCCTATCTCTACTAAAAATACAAAAACTAGCCGGGTATGGTCGTGCCTACCTTTAGTCCCAGCTACTTGGGAGGCTGGGCAGGAGAATCACTTGAACCTGGGAGGTGGAGGTCGCAGTGAGCTGAGATCACGCCACTGCTCTCCAGCCTGGCAAGAGTGAGACTCTGCCTAAAAAAAAAAAATCACAGCAACAGAGGTATTTCTTTGGAATATACTGCACAACGCCATATTGCACTTGCATGTCTTAATTTAACCTCACAGGAAGATGCCCTAAATTCTGAAATACAGAAAGGGCTAAGGCCATAAGAAGACTGTCAGAAACAGAAGCAGTTTTAAGAGGTTGGATGCAGGCGAAAGGCTTCAGTCCACGTTTCTAATGGCTGCATATCAGTGAACAGGTTGTTCAACAACAGGAAATGGAGAAAAAATGAGCAACAGCAACCAGCTAGCATCTTTGCAGGTGAACATCTTTGTGGTCTCAGCAATTCCAGTAGTTCAAAATCAGAGAATTCTCTTTTCATATATTTGTTTATTGAGATGGGGTCTCTGTTGCCTAGGCTGGAGTGCAGTGGCATGATCACAACTCACTGCGGCCTTGACCTTGTGGGTCCAAGTGATCCCCCCACCTCAGCCTCTCAAGTAGCTGGGACTACAGGCACACATCGCCATGACTTTTTGTATTTTTTGTAGAGATGGGGTTTCACCATGTTGGCCAGGCTGGTCTTGAACTCCTGGGCTCAAGCGATCCTCCTGCCTGACTCCCAGAGTGCCGGGATCACAGCTATTCCTCCTTGCCAAAGAATTTTCCTTTCTTTTATTTTTTGTAAATTGATTTTACTTAAAATAATTTATAAGCTTACAGGGAATATTCTTTTTTTTTTTTGAGACAGAGTTTTGCTGTTGTTACCCAGGCTGGAGTGCAATGGCGCGATCTTGGTCACTGCAACCTGTTGTTGAACTGCCTCCTGGGTTCAGGCAATTCTCCTGCCTCAGCCTCCCAAGTAGCTGGGATTACAGGTACGCGCCACCATGCCCAGCTAATTTTTTGTATTTTTAGTAGAGACGGAGTTTCACCATGTTGACCAGGATGGTCTCAATCTCTTGACCTCGTGATCCACCTGCCTTGGCCTCCCAAAGTGCTGGGATTCCAGGCTTGAGCCACCGCGCCCGGCCCAGGGAATATTCTTTACCTGACTGTAGAGTATGGGCTTTGTAACTGGACAGACTTTACTTTTTTGTTGAGTCAATAGATTTATGAGTTAACTAACTAACCTCTTTAATTTGGCAAATAGAAACCTCTTAGAGTCATGGAAGACACATGCAAATTACGCTAATATATGTAAAGCATCTGACTTGACTTACAAGTACAATAAGTAATGGTGATTCCTCTTTGTACTGTTATAATTCCACACTGGCGTTTAAGCAAAAATGGTTATTATATGTGAATACATTTTCCTTACTGCAAAGGCTAAACAAATATTATTATTAAAAGGAACTGTTATATAGGTCACTGTTTTTAAACCATAGGTAGAGCTAACACTCAAGTGAATCTCAAAGTAAATCCCATCAAAGTCCTCTCAGTGCAGAGACAGCAGATAGGGAGGAGGCAGAGTAGGTTAAGTGTTGGAGGAGAAGAACACCGTGAGTTTTTCTCAGGAGTCCTGAACCAAAACTATTAAAAATATATACATATGAGGATTCATTCTGTTGCCCAGGCTAGAGTGGTGCAATCATAGCTCACTGTAGCCTCAAACTCCTGGGCTCAAGTGATCCTCCCATCTCAGCCTCCCGAGTAGCTGACCACAGGTGCAAGCCACTGTGTGTGGCTTGAAACTGGTGTTACAAATGTTAATTAAACCTGCTCAATAGCCTTACCCACTACTTTACCCTACCCACCTCCCACCAACAGATGCAAAAACACATTTTATACTTTTGAGTGCTAGACTTAGTATTTCAAACAGACACCTTTTTTTCTTTTTGCAAATCAAACTTTAAATGTGACTGTATTATCTCTTCCCATTTTTATTACTAAATAAGTAAATGAAATATTAAACTAAATTATAAGTTTTCCTGAACTACAGCCAGGGTTTTTTTCTCTCTCTGTAATTGTGATACGAATATATGTTGAACCCAGTAATCATTTTAGGTCAATGGGAAAATAAAAGAAAAAAAAAAATCCCATGCTGGAATGATGCAAATAGGTGAGCTTGTTTATTAGAATCTTTTTCTCTTTTCTTCTTACAGGCCAGTCACATCATACATATCCAGGTCAGAGAATGCTAATATAAACCTTGCCCACCTCTCTCAGCCCATCTTTCTTACTCAGACAGCTTCCAAGCAGCTCTTTGATGAAGATACAGTCTTCAGTTTCCAGAACAAACTGAACCACAGCCTTCCCTCCTGGCAGACGGCTCCTCACCATCTGACTTTTGACACTGTCCAGGACAACTGCCCTGATGTCTTTAGGCTTTCCCGGCATCCCAAAGATGAAAAACAGACCCAGGCAATCCTTTCCTATCAAGTTACAGAATTCTTCCAGGTTATCAAATCTACTTTTCTTCCAGGAAGACTCCTCTACCCTTGATTCTGGATTGGAAAGGTCACAAGGCTTAGATTCCACGAAAGAAGGTGAAGACATCTGCAGAGTCTGTACTGCCAGCTGAAGCTTTATTTGCCTGTCGGATCCCCAAAAGGTCCAAATCCAGTCAGCGCCAAATAGTAAGGCTTGGTGCTTGGTCATCTTGGTGGTCGTCAGCCATTCATCAATTCCCTTTTCTTGACAGAAAGTGATGAAATGGATTAAGAAGATCTCATTCAGAGTATTTGCAGCTGGGCAGAGTTTACTCAGAGGATATTCAAATCCAAGGTACTCCTTCAGCTTCTGAGCCGCATGGACTATAGCTTCACTGACCACCTCACAGACCCTGGGCACCTCTTTGCTGTCCTTCAGAGCCAACTGTTGTGATGCTTTTTGCCCCATTTTCTCTGCATTCAAATATCAAACAGGTGAATCTAGTTCAAAGCACTTCTTTTTCAAAGAAAAGGTTCTGCAGGGAAGTCCCATCTGTTAATATGGTTCATGTTTTAACTCTACAGCTTCCTTGGGTGTAGTTAAGCATATATACATACAGCTAAATACACGTTAGGCCTCTGTTTGTTAACTGGGTGTTTTGCATTCATACAGTTCCTGCTGGTTTAAGTTAGTGATATCAAATTTCACATGAAACATCTGTTCTATCTAGGTTATATCCACTCTACTTTTAATCTTTGGTAATCTCTTCCAAGATATGTTTCCTCTTTCCAAGTGTTAAAGTAAAAATAGCATGTTAGTTCTTTTTGTTGCTGTTTCTTGAGGCAGGGTCTCACTCTGCTACCCAGGTTGGACTGCAGTGGCATGATAATGGTTCACTGCAGCTTCAACCTCCCTGGCTCAGGTAATCTTCTCACCTCAGGCTCTTGAATAGCTGGGGCTACAGGTGTACACCACCACACCTGGCTAATTTTTACGTATTATTTGTAGAGATGGGGTTTTGCTGTGTTGCCCAGGCTGGTCTTGATCTCTTAGGCTCAAGCAATCCTCTCACCTCGGCCTCCCAAAGTGCTGGGATTGTAGGCATAAGCCACTGTGCCCAGCCCACTATGTTAGTTCTTCAAAGATCCATATACCTCTTTCTACAACTAACTTCTCCCAGTCTGTAGGTGAGTCATTTCCATTTGCTTTTTCTATATCCCTTCTGCCAGTACTTTTCCTTCGTTAATTTTTTTGTTTTTGTTTCTTTTACCTTTTGCCATGATTCTTCATTCCTCAGCTCAGTTGATTCTTTTCCTACAAAATCTTCTCAAACAAAGGACTCAAATTCCTACCTGTTAATACATGTTATAAACTCCATTCAAACAAATTTATGGCAGTTTATAAAGGGATCATGTTATTTTCTATACCAGAAACAAAGCCTGTTACTATGAACAATGGAAAATGAAATAACGGCAATAAAAATGAGGCAATTATCAATTAACTTTATTTCTTTCGTATGGTAACACCAGCAATGTATGATATTTTGTAAATAATATACATCATAAAAAATTAACCTTATTACATATCATCAGTTAGGTTATACTGTCCTGAATAAAAAATATTTGGCATCTGTAACAGTCTCCTTGTATTTTCAACCAGGTTCTAAGGAAAAATTGATTTTTTCAAATGGTGACATCTAGTCACATTAAAATAAAATCCAAATAAAGTCCAATACAGTAACCAAATAATGAATGGTAGAGTTTAAAGAAAATTATTATTAGCATTAAATCATTTTAGTTATGAATAAATAGTAATTTGGTACTATAAGTTTTTTAATGAATAACTTGGTAACTTGCTGACAACTTAGAAGATAATACCGCTGATATTCAAATACATTTTATAATCAAGTCCAATGGCAGGTACTGAACTGCCCACTTCCACCTCAATTTGCGAAAACCTGTCTACTGTAAGGTTGGCTACCATGAGTAATTATGTAGCACCGAATAAAAAATAGAATATTTTTCTAATATTCCTACAAATATAATAAACACAGTAATTTTGCTGCAGCGATATTTTTTAAAAAGAATATTTGGGCCCAGTGCTACAGAAAAACATGAACTACATCTTATTATCACAAAACAGCCATTACGAAATGAATTTTGTAGCCTCTGTTTTTTCGATCTTTGAAATAAAATGTTCAGACAAATATTCAACTTTTTAAAAAGCTCCATTCATTGATAGCCTGAGAAATGTACAATGAACATGTTTAGGCAGACTGTTAGTATTTTGGTGTAATGATGTAGTTAACGAAGAGAAAAACAATACTGTGAAGGTTTCTGCTTTGATTTTGGTTTCCTCAAAAACTATTTCTACAAATTTTTTTAGTGGGGGAGGGGATTCTGAATGTATTCCAGTTAGTAGGCCGGGCACATGCAGTGACTCACACCTGTAATCCCAGTAATTTGAAAGGCTGAGGTGGGAGGATCGCTTGAGGGCAGGAGTTTGAGACCAGGCTGGGCAACATGGTGAGACCTTGTTTCTACAAAAAAAAATTGAAAAATCAGCCAGGTGTGAAAGGTGGGGTGGGAAGCCACGTGCCTGTGGTACTAGCTACTGGGAAGGCTAAGGGGAGAGGATCACTGGAGTCTAGGAATTCAAGGCTGCAATGAGCTACAGTCATGCCACTGTACTCCCGCCTGGGCAACAGAGTAAGACTCTGTCACTTTAAAAAAAAAAAGGCTGGGTGTGGTGCTCACGCCAGTAATCCCAGCACTTTGGGAGGCAGAGGCGGGTGGATCACGAGGTCAGGCATTCAAGACCAGCCTGGCCAACATGGTGAAAACCCGTCTCTACTAAAAATACAAAAATTAGCCATGCATCGTGGCGTGTGTCTGTAGTCCCACCTTCTTGGGAGGCTGAGGCAGAAGAATCACTTGAACCCGAGAGGTGGAGGTTGCAGTAAACCAAGATTGCGTCACTGCACTCTAGCCTGGGCAACTGAGCATCTCAAAAAGAAAAACCAACCAAACAAAAAAAAGTATACTAATGTCCCTCAGGTTCTTCCATATGAGGTAAAGGGATCCAAGATTAAGGGTGAAATTCTTAAACTGTTCAACAATTTTGTGGTGTCATCAAAAAGGAATACTTTATATATATTAATTTCTCCTCAATGATCAACATTGTTAAAAGTCAGTATGGAGAAAGATCATTCTGACTTCTTCAGAAACCAGCTGGTATATGAACATTCTGATCACCACGTTGTTTCAAAAATGTGATCTTTTCACCATCGTCCTTATGTCACAAAATAAAAGTTCTATTTTCTATGTTCTGTATATATACATATATTTAGAAAAATATATAAAAATAAGACGATAAGAGGCAAGTGGAGGTGCGGCTGGCATTTAGTGGGCACACCGAATGCTTAAAGAAGTTCCACATATTGATTCTGAAATCATATGATGTCCTACTTAGGTGGCTACAGTGAACACTGATGTGACAGAATCATTCACATCCTGGTTACTGTTCCCCAAATCCTCCATACCATGGATGTGAATGGATGCACTCTGGTAAAACACTCATCTTAAATCCAACACTTTAAATATAATATATCACAAATTTTTACATTAAATAGAAGAAAAACAATTATACTCTCATTCACCAGTGTCTTATATTTTTGCGGCAACTTCAGAATCGGCACGTTACTCCTGCTTTCTGTGTAAAGGAGCAGAAGTTGGAACAAACAAGAGACCATCTGTTGCCTGCTGTATCTACTGTGAGTATTTGGAAAAGAAAGTAGAAAAGAGACTAAGCACTCCTCATGTTCATCCAGGTGCAATGGTCAAACATTTGAGTCTTCATCTGTAATGCTGGCACTGGGGGAACGGGCAGCAAAATCTTTAAACATGTCATCTTCTTTTAACATGTGCTGGAAAACAAGGAGACAGGGAGTCACATTGAGAGCCAAAGCTCAGAACTACACATTCTCCAAGAGACATGAGGTCTTTTGGGGTTGTTGTGAAAGACAGTTATAGAACAACATTTTCAATTCATTTCGTAAACTCACCGTCAGATTGTTGATGCCTTCAGAGAATGCACCTATCTGTCTCACTGTCCCTTCTGAATCTTCCATCTGCAAAGAACAAACCAAAATGTGACATATGTGTTTTCACAATTTCAGGGAAAGTGCAGCAAGAGAAACAAGAATCTAAGAAGAAATCATGCAAGCAGCACTGAATGGGGTAGGAGCAACAGAACACTTCTGATGATAATCTCCTCTCACTACTGCAATCAGAAGTGAAAAATCAGAAGAGACACTTTACTGACACAGCTAGTCGAATGCCTTTGCTAACAGTACCAAAGGATTGTTGATTAGAGGGGAAATATGTAGTCCCACAACTTGAATCTGAAAAGGCTAGGTAGAATAACCTGTCCATTCCTAACATGTTTCAATACAGAGATGGCAAAACATAGGTAAATATCACAGGCTTTGGAGCCAGAGTGACAGGTTGAAGACCTTGGGCAAGTTACTTAGCTCTCTGTGTCTCAGTTTCCTTATCTCCAAAATGAGAATAACAACACTCTCCATGTCTTAAGGTTACCATAAACATACGTTAAGTGCTTAGGATGGTACCTGGAACATATAAGCCATCTCTAAGTGTTCACTATTTTTTATTAATATCTGTATTTTTAGTTACTTGAAAAAAATATCCTCCATCAGACACAGCATACAAAGTTCCCGTCTAGTGTCTGAATGCTGGAAACATTTGAAAAAGGTATACTGTGTTGGACTAACCTGCTCTAACCGGTCCAAATCATCTTCGTCATACAGGCGCATATCCAAACCAGCTTTAAATCCTTTCTTAGAAGCACTTCCTGATGGCTGTCCCAATTCCATCGGACAAACATATTCTTCACCATCTTCCTGTTTCTTCTTTCTCAAATTCCCAAAATTGCTAAAGGCAAGTTTCTTTGGCTTTGAAAGAAAAGCAAACAAAAACATCCAAAGGATCTGATAAAATTCCAAAGGACTGATAACATGTAATTTTTTTTGCATCATCCCTCTTCCCTACATGTCTAATTTAATTTTTTACCCCATGTAGAAAGAAAAGTAACTGGATGTTTAAATTTGTATAAAAAAGAAAGGGCATCCTAGGCATACAAATGATGCAATGATAAATGACCCTTGTTATGAATCTCAGAAAATTAATCTTATTCTTCTTCATGTCAACTGGCTGGATAGTCACTGTCTGGACTGGCTTCAAACTCCTGGTCTCAAGAGATCCTCCTGCCTCAGCCTCTGGAGTAGCTGGTACTACACGCACATGCCACTGCACCTGGCTTCATAGTTTTGATTAGACATGCCTTAATGCAACGGATTTCTCAGGGCTAAGTCCAATTTTGCAAGGTTTTTCAATCTAAGATTAGCAAAATAAAATGGACCTTACTCTATTTTTTCTTGGGCTGAGGCTATGATTATCTTGTGTGCCTATTCTGCTTCCATAATAGAACTGGTAATTGCTAAAATAATTTTTTGGAGAGAAAACTTCAGCAACACTTAGAAGAGAAACTCCACCTTGGTCATTGGATGACTCAGGCAGATAGGAAAAAAAAAAAAGTAAAAAAAAAAAATTAAAAAGAACTTGGCACAAATTTCTGGAGGACCTGATAACCCATCAAGTTGGTTGAGATAACATATTTAGAAGAGTTAATCTAGGATACATTTAAAAGAAGAAAAAGTAATCTGAATTTGGTATAATCCATAAATCCAGGTAAATTAGGAAATATCCATTCTTTTCTGGTTCACTTTGAATCATTTCTTAAGTATCTTTTCCTGTTTACAAGGCTGGTAAATCGTAAGCCAGACAAGCTGAATCTGTACAAGAGAAATCTCTCTTCTATATTTGACTTATAAAAACAGAGCAACTGCAATCAATGGTTACAGGCTCTCTGCACTACCAATGCATGGATTTTGGAAGCTCAACATCATGCTCCTCATTATGATTTTTTGAGAGACAGGATCTGGCTCTGTTGCCCAGGCTAGAGTGAAGTGGCATGCTCACAGCTCAATCATAGCTCATTGCAGCCTCAAACTCCTGGGCTCAAGTGATCCTCCTGCCTTGGTCTCCAAAAGCACTGGAATTACAGGTGTAAGCCACCATGCCCACCTAAGAAGGAGCACTCAAAAAGGGACATGAACCCTGGATCTTCAGATTAAAAGTCTGACGCTTTACTGACTGAGCTATCTGGGTGCATTACCTTAATTATTACACTTTTAAAAGATATATACTTAGTTATCCCTCAGTAAATACAGAGCATTAGTTCCAAGACCCTCATGTATATCAACCGTACATG